GGATTGTCAACAGTTTCTGGCCATTAGGAATAATGCTGCTGTAAACATTCTTGTACAGGTTTCCTGTGGCCATAAGTCTTCATTTCTCTGAGATAAATGCCTGGGAATTCATTTGTTCCGTTGTGTGATAGTTGCGTAGTTAGTTTTTAAGAAACTGCTACACTGGTTTCCAGAGTGACTGTACCCTTTTGTATCTCCACTAGCAGTGTGATCCATCCAGTCTCTCTGCACCCTTGCCCATATAAAGTCCCCGTGAGAGTTGTTCTTTGACTCTTGGATTGTTCAGAGTGTCACTTAGTATCTGGAGATTTTCTTGCTTAATGATTTCTATTTTTGAGTCCATTGAGGTTGGAGAATACACCTGTGTGATTTCAATTTTTAAAAATTTGTTGAAGTTTGTTTTGTGGCCCAGGGTAAGTTCTGTCTTGGCATGTGTTCCATGGTTACTTAATGGGTGTTCTGCCGTTTCTGGATAGAGTGTTGTACATGTGTCGGTAAGGGTCTGTCAGTTGATGATGATGTTGAGTTCTTACACATCCCTGCTCATTATCTGTGTCCTTCTGTCAGTTTTTGAGAGAGGATCTTGAGGTTTCCGCCTCTTGATGGTAAGTTTCTCTTTTGAGTTCTGTCACTTTTTGTTCACATATTTTTCAGCTCTGTTGTTTGTTGCACACACACTTAAGATTGCTGTGTCTTCTTGGTAAACTGACTCTTTTATCATTATATAATGTCTCCTTCTGTCTCTGGTAATTTTTAAAAAATATTAAATAGCTTATATTTATCTGTGGGTGTTTCATATGTATATTTCTTAATGCTGAGAATCACAAATACCTGTGTGGAAAGCTTCACCAGCCTGATTACAGTGGATGTGCAATTAGATTGAGGAATGTGCACTCAGAGCTTGTGAACACTAGCCCGATTGAGTCTGGGTGATGCATGTGCTTTCCAGGGATGCTGCTATTTACATCTGTTAATGGCCCTTCTTGATGGCCAGCTCACCAGTGAGGTGGCATGCAGCAGCCTGGGATGAGGGACCAAGTCTGCAGATGTGGTGGGCTCCACTAGGCAGGGCCAGGAATGCTTAGCCGGTAGGCTTACGTGTTTGGGCAGTGAACGGTGGGGGAGGGAAGTGGGGGAGACCGAACGGAACGGGGAATAAAAGAATGGAAAACATTACTTATCCGGGTATGGGAAAAGAGACAGGCAGACGTGAAAAACTGCAGCTGTAACTGGGGCACGAGTGAACAGAAAAGAAATGGAACCAGTGAATAAACAAGTAGGATTGACTAGTTCTCATGCAGAGAGGGATTAAAAGTGGAGTGGGCAGTGAGGGCTTAGAAAGAGACATGTCTCCCCTGCCTTTTAAGTCAGTATCGTTTAGTTGTGTGGTTGGCCAGATGCGGCCAGACAGTGGGCAGAGATTTACATGTATCATAGTGCAGCAAGAGGTTAGTTACTTGCATCCTTTGGTTTTCTGGTGTTGGGAGAGAGCAGCAAAAGATGCCCTCAAGGAGGCAGTGTTGAGCTACAGTCAATTCTTGCAGAAATGAAAGATACTTGAAGCAAGCCAGTGAAGAATGTGGCTACTATTCCTATCAAATGCTAGAGGTCAATAAAAGGACCCAGGATTACAAAAGTTGTGTCCGTGAGAGGTGATCCTCTTTCTTCTCTCTTATGTGCTAAAGGCTTCTTGGAAAGAGTCTCACAAAAGATGGCACTAGTGTCTTAGTAGACAGGGTAGTAAGCTAGGAAATCCTGGATTTAGTTCCCAGTGCCGTCGTGTTCTTCCACAGGCATCCTGAGTGCATTTAGACTTTTGATTTTTCCATCTTTGAACTGATGTCTCTGGTAATTTTGATTGCACTCGTATCTACTTTATCTGGTATTTATAAAGCCCACACTTCCCTTTATTCTTCTTACTTATTAGCAAAAACATTAATGTTTGGGTGATATATCTTCCATCCTTTAACTTTCAGCCTGCTCTGTCT